TGACCAAAAGCTCATGGTGAATTCATTCATTTATATTTAGCCATATCATATACATAACTGTTTAGAAGAAATGCCACTACACAGCTACTGAGTTAAAGTCGTTTGGTGGAGTAACTTTCGTCTGTAAACCAACCCCTGCCCATCCTGTTTAGAAATTGAAAAAGAAAATATGTGAATAAGATTCCCAGAATAATTTAGACTAAAATATACAAAAATAGAAGAAAAATATTATTTAATGATGGATATATCTACATAGGAAAGGGATTATTTTGGTAGTGCTGTTTTTCCCCCCCTTTTTTTTTTTGCTGATTTTATTTGATAAGAAGGGACCTTCTTTGTATGTAGAGGAAAAAAAAGAATATTGCACTTCTTACTTGAAAGGAAGATAAAGATAATGTCTTAGGTATATATCTGTCTATATATATATCTATATATATATATATGTAGTGCGTGCACGCGAGAGAGATTGAGATGGAGAAAGCAGAGGCGGGATTCATTATGACGTGATAGTTCGTAACCCGCGGAAATAGACAAAGAAGAATACCACATTGCCCCTCACCCCCACACCCCCTCTCGGGAGTTTTTTTGTTTTTTTTCTTTTCTTTTTTTCTATAAGTCTGCATCTTTTATGCAGAGATACTTTCCTTTTTTTATTTTATGGAAATCAGAAGTATGTCTATGATTTTGATGTGACTAAGACCATATTAGTTTGGATTTGTAATGAAGACATTGTCTGTCTAACTGTGTATTGTATAAGATGTTTTGTAATTAAGGTCTGTTGCTCCTTCCAATATTTTTCTTGTCTTTATTATTATTATTATTACATATTTTTTTTTCTTTGTATTCTCTTAATTAAATATTGTTCTCCAGATTTCTTTTTTTTTTAATGTATACATTTTTTTAGTAGAACTCAATGTAAGAAAGAAAGAATGAGGAAGAAGAATGATCCCACATAGTCCCACTGTAAACTCCTTGTATAACCTCTGCTTATATTGTTAAAAAAAAAATGAGTGTAACTGAGTGTACTTGTTGAACATGTGTCAGACAGGCAGGCGTGTTGATGACTTGTTTTGTAGAAAGAATAAGTAAGTCTTTTCTTCTCTCTTTTTTTTTCTCCTCTTCCTCTGATTTGATGGCAGGGCAAAAAAGAAAGAAAGAAAAAGATGTATAAACACTTTATTTTTTATTTTATTTTATTTTTTTTTTTAACTTTAGGCGTAGGAGTTGAGTGTGCTCCGTATGGAAAGATTAGCCTTCTCTTCCTTTGTCCAGTTTATTATTTTATACCTTCCCTCCCTCCCTCTCCTCCTGTCCATGTGATATATATATATATATATGACTTTCTCTTTTTTTTTTTAATGATATTTTTGTGTGTTTGTACTGTGCTAGACTTCTGTTGGTTGGGACAGCATACATTTAGCCATTTCTTACTCCAAGATGTGCTTTTTCCAAGTGGTTTGACTGGTGTTTAACCCATGACATATTTCTTTTATTATCTTGCCACTGTGAATGTCTAGTTTGCCTGTCTTTTTTTTTTTTTTTTTTTTCCTTTTTTTCTTTTTTTCTCTCTCTTTTTTTATCACTAAAAGATTTTTCTGTCTCCTCAACATGAGAAAATAGGCAGGTCTGATAGCAGATAATTGACCCTCTTTCCCTTCCTTTAAAGATACAAAAAACAAACAAAAACAAAATGTCGACCCCCCTTCCCTCTCCCTTCATCATCATCATCATCTGTTTTACATCTGTTTCCTTGCTTGCACGGGTTGGATGACAAGTTCTTGTTGGCTGAGTTAACTTTCTCCAGGGTTTTCTGTTCTTCAATGATTGAGAATCCACTTCTGCGGTTCTTGGACCGGAGCGTGTCACTTCGCACTTTCCGCTACTCTCCCTTACTGATTTGACCTTCCCTCCTTCAGATAAATAGTAATGATTATTTAGAAAATATTGCATGTATACAACATTTACTGCAAAATAAAAAGTTGTATATTCCCACAAAAAAAAAAAGAAGAAAAAAAGAAAAAAGAAAAAAAAAAAAAAAAAGGCAGACCTCACAGTAACTACTGCTTAGGATTTCTTCACCGAACTGGTTCCCCTTCTCTGGAGGGCATCGAGGCACGCCCCTTTCAATAGGTCGTCACTAGCTTGCTTGAGGTCATGTGCTTGTTCACCTGCCTTGGCGACGTCTTGAAATTGGTCGATTGGCTTTGATTATTAGTAACAATGGTTATTTATTATTTGTTTGTATTATTGTATTAACCATCACGATTATTATTGTTTGTGGTTAATATTATAACAGTTACCATTGCTGTTAGTTTATTTTTATTATAGATTTTCGTATTTTATTCTAAAATTCTTTTTTGAGATGGAAATCCAATGCCTCGTGGGACCATTTATTATCCTGTAGCAAAGAACTAGTGACATCTGTTTTGTCTGTACTTGCACCCCTCCCACTTCCCTCTCCCCCCCACCCCCTGTATCACCCTGAAATCAAGTCTTTATT